ACCCTCAACCCCTAACCCCTCAACCCCTAAACCCTAAACCCCTAAACCTCTAAACCCTAAACCCCTAAACCTCTAAACCCTCAACCCCAAAACCTCTAAACCTCTAAACCCTAAACCTCTAAACCGCGGGTTAGCTTTACTTGGGCCATTGCAACCCGCGCTCAGAGCCGGGGACCTTGACTTTTGGGTTTTCATTGGTTAGGTCAAACCCCCCTACAGTAATGGCGCATAAATATATAGTCCCCCTTAAGTAGATAGAATATGGGATATATGAGGGTTTTATTATAAGAAACCCAAAGCCATATTGTATCTACTTAAGGAGGACTATACAGTTAATGGGTCCTTAATATACCTACAATAGTCCTGTGTGGTACCCATTACTGGGTGGGGGGATTGACCCAATTTATTGGTTTCTTCTAAGGCGCCTAGCTCTGATAGCTTAGGGTCACTTTAGGTTCTCCCGGAGGCCTAGGGGCTTGCCTAGCCCAACAAGCCAGTTTGGGCTTGAAAGCTTCACGGGTGGGTTAGGTTAGAATCTCATGAGGAGATTCATGACCCCACATAGAATTACGCATGAAGCTGCAGGCACTGGCAAACTGAAACAACCTTGCCCGACCTCATCCTAATTGGTGGTGTACTTAGAAGATAGTTCCAATAGTACATTATTTCAAGCATTAATCTAAAGCAGTCTAGTCGAACACTGGGCCCTTGTTTTTGTTTACCCCCGGCCCAACCTATGTTTTAAAACCTTCTCCTGTTAGTTCGACCCCAGGACCTGCGTTTTGAAACAAGTCCAAATCATAAACCCTCCCTGGGTCCCCATGATAAATGCGCCCCGAAAATGCTGGATGTTCCACAAGGGACCATAATTTTGACAAGGGATATAGTCCCCCTTAAGTAGATAGACTATGGGGTATATGGGGATCTTATTATAAGATACCCAAAGCCATAATCTATCTACTAAAGGGGGACTGTAGGTATAGGGATCTACACTCCCCAAACCCTACACCCCTAGACGTCCATGCGAGGCTTCGGCAGCCGCACCTGGCGCAGGTTTGCACTCGCTACCTGTGAGCAGCGGTGAAAGAAACAGATTACAATGTTGAGGTTCTTGGGGGTGGTTGTCAAAATTATGGTGCCTTTTTGGGTCCCTATTATAATACGGCACCTACTATTTAGGGTACCCAGAAAGTGACCATAATTTTGATAACCACCCTTGGGGAGGTTTGACCCTAAACTCTAAACCTCTAAGGCTTACGGTTTAGGGGTTGTTTAGGGTTTAGGGTTTAGGGTCTAGGGTTATGTAGGGACTACCAGTGGAGGGATAGGTCTTTGCGAGAATGGAGAACCAAATGGAAAAATGGAACATGACATGGAAACTGTGTTGTGTAGTGATTTTAGGGTTTGGGGTTTGGGGTTGTAGTGGTTTGTTTTTTGGTAAGTTTAGGGTGTCCAGGTTTGAGGGGTCTAGGGTTTACGGGCTTTGGGGTCAGGGTTTAGGTGGTACTTTTAGAGCTCCGGTTTGCAGGATATGTAGCTATACTAACCCCAGACCATAAACCTTATGGGGTTCTAGAGATACCTTTACTGAACATCGTGAAGACCCTAAGATCTTGAGGTATATGAAAGGGGGGTTTAGGGTTTAGAGACGCTTCCTATTGTTAGTTTCCCACTGAGATTTATACGGCCCGAAAAGAGGCCACTATTTGTTGGCAACCTTCCACGTGCACCAGGGGGTCCCTAAACCCTAAGCCTTAAATCCTAAACCCTAAGCCCTAAACCCTAAATCCTAAACCCTAAACCCTAAACCCTAAGCTCTAAACCTTAAGCCCTAAACCCTAAGCCCTAAACCTGAAGGGGTTGAGGCTCGCCAGAGTTGGCGGGGGCCTCCAAGAGTTATGGAAAGGGGGTTTTAGGCTTCAGGCTTTGTTGTTTTTTGGCTTTTGGGCTTTTTGGGCTTTTGGGTTTTTGTTTTTTTTGGCTTTTTGGGCTTAAGGGCTTAGGGTTTAGGGTTAAGGTCGAGGGTTTAGGGCTTAATGGCTTATAGGGTTAGGGTCCAGGGTTTGCGGGTTTTGCGTTTTAGGGTTTAGGGGGTGCTGTTCAAAATGTGACGTAGTGTGGATGCAGGGAGTCTTGCACTTGCACAACCGCGGTTAAGGGTTCAGGGTTTAGAGTTCACCAGATCTTCCCTATGCCCTAGGAATGTCCGTAGAATGGGGATGGTCAGCATTGCTTGATTTCCTCCTTCCTCCGCAGCAGATAGTAGACCTTGAGCCCTAAACCCTAAACCCTGATCCCTAAACCCCAATCCCCAATCCCTAAACCTAATCCCTAAACCCTGAACCCTACAGTTCTTTGTCGACCTGTTTAGGGGACGGCTGCAAACAATGGCTCCATGCCTCAAGTCTGACAATCTTGAAACCTTCAAAGACTTTAAGAGCTTTAAGTTTGTGTCCTTCAGGGTTTAGGGTTTGGGTTTGTAACCTTGGGTTCTGGGTCCCGGATACCTTAATTTGAGGCTATTTCCATGGTTTAGGGACCTAACAAACCCTCAAGGGTACAAAGGAAACTCACTGACAAGTGCACAGCGGCGAATGCACATGCTTGCATTTTCCTGTCGTTGATGCAGCCGTTTTTGATTCAGCAGGTCACCAGGGCTAGCACAGTCCTTGCTCATTTCCCCCTTCAGGGGAGGTCCATCCTCTTCAGGGGAGGTCCATATAGTTGGAAATGGGGCAGCCCATCCGCCAGGGAAAAGCCACAGCTAAAGGAGGCGGGATTTCGAGCGGGCTCTTCTTCTGATCTGGAGGGTCATCAGCTCATTGGCTGCTGTTGACTACTAGGCACCGCATAACAATTGTAGAGGGGCAAGCCTAGAGCGCTGCCGGGGCTGTTGTCTTTGTGGATAGAGCGACGTGACAATGACTTGAACAAGGGTTCAAGCTCTAGGGTTTTTAAAGCATTGTGTGGTCTGACAGAAGAGACCCTAATTTGATGCATAATTTGCACCAAACACTCAACAAGCTAGAGATACCTCATACGCATTCCAGCAACTTTCCTGTGGCAGTGCGATTTTGGATGCTGCCAATGTTATCAGGAGTCCAACTAAGGAAAAAACAATCAATGTTCAATGCATATTTCGGAATAAAACGCAAAATGCAAGAGCATGGACAGAAAGCATCTTGAAACATGCTGCTAGCATTGTTTCTTCATCCATACCGGGTTGAGAGGGTTTTTTTAATGACACGGTACCTAAATAGAAGCTGACCTAGCTGAGTCAATTAAGATGAATACGTTTTGAATCTTCAAGCATTTCTACATTGTAACGCACATAAAACCTATTGTAACCTTAAATCGAAACCCAATACTTCCAGGGCTACGACTTGCATAAGGCATCCGAAGAGAGCCTGAAATTTGAAATTCTGAGAGCTTCTCTACTGTAGACCTGACAATGGTTATATAAGGCTTATCAAGGTGGATACTAGGAGCTTAGACTATAGCTCATATCAGCCTTGCTTGGCCAAACATTAAGTCTACGACCTTGAACACTACATTTGCCGCTCTAAAGAGCGGGGCAAAACGCCATGGCAAACTCATAGACATGGCAGAGAAAATCTCAGGAATCACTCTAAACCCTAAACCCTATAGAACCCTCAGTTCTCTCTAAAATCATCAACCTGCATACAAGCAAGGCTTTAGATTTTTCCATAATCATCAACCACATGCCTTACTGAGGCTTAGCAGCCGAAACCTTAACCCTCATTATTAGGGATTCTATACGAGTTTCCAGTAAAACCCTAAACCCTTAAACCCTAAACCAAGACCATCTTGAGATTAGAACCACTCAAAAGTGTTGATCGCATGCCGCGAAACTTAGTGAACCAACACAAAACTTGGTTGCTATCAGGGTTTAGGGTTATTGAACTACAACTAAATTAATATTGGAATGAAACCCTATTATTTCGTATATACGCATAGAATGGTAACTTAATTTAAGTTCAGTAACAGCAACCCAGCAAAACTGGTGCCACAAGAGCATTCCACTCAAAAAGGGGGGGGCAAAATCGAGCCCACTGCATTGTCATCCCTACGGTTACTAAAAATCCTGCATGACCCTAGGTACCTTATACCTTGGGAATGATGGTTTTGCAGTATACTAAGGTCATGCAGGATTTTTAGTATCATCCCTATCATTGAGCATCCCGGAAAAGGTGCCCCAAATTTTTGGAAATCTCAATGCAGGGATTACCCAAATTCATCAGAAGCCTCTAAGACGGGTTCGTATCCCTAAACCCTAAACCCTAAACCCGTAAACCCTAAACCCTAAACCCGCGGGGTTCCTACTACAATACCGGTCCACCTAAAAGTCTCCCCCCCCCAAATTTGGATTTTGGGAAGAGTAATGTAGACCCCTAATTGATAAACCACCTCCCCTTAATAGGGGTTATAATCCGGATCCCAACAGTAAGGCCCGTAAAAGGAGGGGGTTTATTAATCAGGGGTCTACATTATTATTTCAGGCCTATTCAGGCCGAGTCCCAAAAGATCCTGGGTTGCCAAGGAGAGGAAGCATCGAGGCATGGCTTTGAGACGCAGTACCAGGGCCCCGTGTTGGGCAAAATAAACTTGGGCGCGGACCCGTATGCAGGGTACAAGAACGAGCGAAGGGCGCCCCACGTAGAGTTCGTCAACTGGGTGTCGTGGGATCCCGTCCCCAAGTTCACAATTTCGCTGCGTCAGTGGAGGCCTTGGCGCTTGCAGTGGCTCAATGCTGCAGCCGCACTGGCATCAGCCGCATTGCCCATCTCAGCACAGATCAGCGAGAGAATTCACATGCGCGATGAGGCAGCAAAGGCTCTTCTTACCGTCTATGTCATCGCGGACCAGTTCTGCCTCGCTTGCACGTGCACATGTGTCGTTTGTCGGGCACAGGTCCATGGCGCTCGTATCCTGCTATGGAGCATGTTAGGAGGGGAGTTGGAGAATTTTGACGCAACACAGGAGTATCTTGTCCAAGAGGCCACATTGTCCAGGCTTTCTGCTCTGCAGCCACTGATCCTGGCACTAGCGGTGTTCGTTGGGGCTACCTTGGTGATGATCAAATTCAGCCTTCCCAAGTTGACCTTCGGGCAGATGTTCAGTGTGTGCCCTTGTTCACCGGTTTACCTCCTGCGCTTCAAGCCCATTCAGCTCTGCCGCGATCAAGGGATCCTTCGGCGCATGATAATATACCGCGGTGTGCTTCTGTGGTTGCTTGTGGAGCTCGTTTGGTATGATGTGCAAAGTCATGACATTGAGCTGTGGGATGCATTGGTCTTCAACTATGACGATCCAGCACCCCGTGGCCGCCTCCGCAGATTTTTGATCCTTTTGTTTTTGGTCACGCAGCTGCTGGCCAGCATGCTTTTCATGGCCTTGCGAAGCCTGCTCCCTCCAGAGCCAGAAGACTCGGACGAGGACCAGGACCAAACCAAGAAAGTCCAGAACTACGGCGCCGCAGCAACGGAATCCTCCGCCAAGGTGCCGAACCCTTCAGATCTGGGCCCTACTCCCACGCAAGGCGGCAGCTCATCGCATGATCTTGAAGAACAGAGGATCTCAGAGCCACAGCTGAAGGAAAGGGTACCATCCTTGAACAAGGACTGAGGAACAATGAAATGAGATGGGAGCTTTCTAAAAAGGAAGGGGACCCTTCTTGGGAGGGGTCCCCCGGCTTACGGAAACCTCCGCGTAGGATGGCCGTTTGGACGACAACATGGAAAAAGAAGAATTTGCTCTGGACTGTTACACTATATGCTTCTGCAACACTATCCCCAAAATTACGATACTACTCCCCGACTTGACGAATGATCAACTCGACACGAAATTGTAATATGATTTGTTTTAGGGATCCCTATGATGAATACCTCAATATTACGGCGCGGCCACTTGCGGCCATTTCGACCGCGTGCGGCCTAGCCTTTCCGGGTCACCTCTAAAACGCCTCCTGCAGGCTCTCTAGTTGCTCTAGAATCTCGGAGATTTTAGAGCCCTTCAGAAAAGCTAGAGGCTCTAAAATCTTCGAGATTTTTGGTGCGGGCGGCGTGATCAAAAATCTCGGAGATTTTTGGTCGCGCGGCCTTTCGCCCCGGAGCGGGTTTCCGCGTGATTTATTTGTCTCTTTGGCTGTCTGCGCGGCTGTTCGGCGGAGAATATAGATCCGGGACGGAGACCCAAAAGCGTTTATAATTTATAGGTTGGCTATATCTATCTACGGGGATATATGCGCTCGCAGATGGCTTAAGAAAGATAAATGAGGCGGAAAGACCGGGTTGCATGGGGGGCCGCGCGACCCGAAATCTCCCGAGATTTCGATCAATTTCTCTCTCTCTCCGGCTATCTGCGCGGCGGCTCGGCATAGATCCTGGCCGAGGATCCGAAATCTTTCAGAATCTATTAGGCAGGTTGGTCGTTTTTGGTCGCCCGCGGCTCTTATATACCGATTATTCGTCGAGATTTATATGCGATTGTATATATTCCACGTGATTTATCTCTGTTTGGTTATTAGAGCAGCTGTTCGGAGGAGCACGTAGACCCGGGACGAAGAACCAAAATCTTTTAGAATCTATAGGTTGGGTATATTTGTTCACGGAACTTTAAGCGCTCTCCCGAATTGCCGCTACAAAATCTTTAGAATCTATTAGTCTGGCCTTTTTTAATCACGTGCGGTTTTAATTTTGATTTTTCGTCGAGATTAGCGCGCGGTTTTATATATTCCGCGTATTTGATTTCTCTTTTTTGATCATTAGGGCGGCTATCTGGAGGAGTGCGTAGATTTAGGATAGAAAACCAAAATCTTATAGAATTTTTAGATTGCTTGTATTTCTTTACGGAGATTTATGCATTGCCTCGAATCGCCGCGAAGATAAGCTAAGAGAGATAAATGGGACGGAAAGACCCGATTGGATATAGAGGCCGCACGATGAAAGGGGGTGATTCGAGGGAATACGAAGGTCCGGGACGGAAATCTAAAATTTTTCAGAATTTATATAATAGATACGGACCCAAAATTTTGATAATTTATCGGTTAACACGTGCTAGTTTAGATATCGGATTTTCTGAAATATATTTTCTCAAATTAATATATTCCGCTGTTATAGCTGATAGGTCAATTCTAATATTTTCAGATTTTGGAAAAAACCATATCTTGGTTTCCTCATTATATAGGAGCTTATCATATATATATAGAAAAAAGAAATTTGATAAACAATAATTTCGAATATTTGAAATTTAATTGAAAGATATGAGATAATAGAAATTTAAGAGCCTCTAATTCATTCCGTTGATTTAGAAAGCAATCCCGAAGGTTTCCATCCTAAATTTTGATGAATTTTAATAGTTCATATGAGATTAGTAGGAATATTAAGATTAATCTAAATTAGGCGATAGAAATTCATATTTTATAACTCTCGATAATTATTATATAGGAAATTAATTGATTTCGTCAATTAGATTCTCGAGATATTTCAAATTTATATCGTAGATCCTTCGCCGACTATGCCGGATCCCAGAGCTAATTCTAAATGATTTTGATTCTTCCTTGCAGATCTATACGCTCATTCGAATAGCCGCGTAGATAATCAAAGAGAGATGCAGCAGATAATCAAAGAGAAATATATCGCGCGGAAGACCGTCTCGGAGGCAAGGACCGCGCGAACAAAAATCTATGCCATTTTTTGGCGGACCGTCCCCGCCAGCAATCTCGGAGATTTTAGAATTTTAAATTATTTCCGAGGTTTTAGAGCTCTTTAGGGAGCCCGCAGGAGGCGTTTTAAAGACGAATCGGAAAAATATATGCGAACGAGATGATTGTAAATGATTACGCCATATTATTGAGGAAAATATAAAGAGATTCGGAATTATCTAAAAGATGAAGAATTCATTTTAATATATAGGAAGAGGATATTCTCTGATTGAATTGATTATATATAGAGTTGAGATGAATCATCAGTCATTGAAAAGAAACTTATTCGATTATAGGAATATATTAAAAATTCATGATAGAAAGATCATCGTATTCATAAGAAGATCATTTTGAAGAATCAAAATGAAGAAATATTCTATAGATAATTATTCGTTATCATTATGAGTTCCATAATCAATATCTTTATAATGATTAAGTGAAGATTGATTATTTATTAAATAATCATGATATTAGATCCGAATCTTGAAAATCGATAGAATTGATAAAATTCAAGAATTCATTTCGAGAAATTGAAATTTATTGATATAATTATGATTCCTCAAATTAGGAGATTGATAGATAAATGATTTATGAATATGATAGATCGAATTTTGGAGAGATTCATAATATGCTTAATTGATTGATCATCAGAAATTGAGAATATCTGATAAGAATATAGGATACGATTTATATCTATCAATCGAAATATCGAAAGAAATAAGAAATATTTTCCGGAGGAAAATTTTTTAGATTGCTAATGATTATTCTAGAGATATGGGCATAACGGAATTCGTAATATGCGAGATCGCGATATATCTTGATAATTGATGGAGGAACGCTATTTGAATAGATTTATCTCTAGCTATTAGGTTTCGAGAGAGAAGGCATCCAAATCAAATTCGCCCAATATCGTAATCCCAGGGAGATCAATCGGTCAGGAAAATAGATGATGATCTTAGCTTCAGGAAATAATTTCATAGAATTCAGAAGATGACATAAAGAATAAAATGAATTGCGGCGGAAATCTATATATAATTTACGATATTCAATCCGACCACGGATTATTGAAATTTATTTATATTTATTATAATAAAGCAATCGATAGATTTCCTCTATTTCCTGGATCTTTATAAGATAATATTCAAATCAATATATGATAATAATGCATAGATCTGAATCTGAAAAATGAATCTATCATCTGAAATTCTGGATTCAATCAATGAGAATTATAATCTTATCAAGATAATTTATCTAAAGGAGAATCGCTAATAGATTCCTCAGATATCGATTATATGAAAGATTTTTTCTATATCTGAGAATATCAATCAAGATCATTGAAATAGATCATCGTCATGCAGAAAAAGAGAAAATCTTGGGGCAGAGATATCATCTCCGACGGCAATTTCTGGATATATATCCTGAAAAAAACGTCAATATCGTCAATGAGATGAATAGAAATGATCTCTTCATATTATTTACCGATCCTCTATATATTCAAGCTATGATTTATTTAATATATCTTTATATTATTTAGAAATTAGATTTTGAAATTTATCAAAAAAAAGAATATTTTATGAGAATCCCCGCACTAAATATTTGATCTCTATAGATAAAGAAAGAATATCATCTAAGATATACGAAATTGAATAATAATATCAAGAATATTAATATTTCATAAAAATGATATCTCTTTATCTTCAATTTTGCGCGTCCAGAAATTGATCCCAGAAAATTATGGGAATTCGATTTTTCAAGGATTTTAGAATAATCTTTATATATATCCTAATATAATGAATTATCGTCTTCTATCATTATCATATTCGTGATCTATCAAATTTTTCAATCAATTTCTGAATCGATCATTAGATATATTTTGAGCGTCGAGATAATTCTAATTTCCTCTAAGAATAGATCAGAAATATAGATTTTTGATATTCTAAATTATCAGAAAGAGTGGAATCAAGAATGAAAATAATCTAAATGAATCATTTATTTTGATTTCTATATATATGAATTTCTCAATTTTAGGATTAATTCGATCCGATTCTTAGTCCGTATTCCATTTTTTCGAATATTATATTATCTGAATCTATATTATTTCAAATTTATAAAATCTAGCAAAATATTCTGCACGCATTTTCGGAACGTTCTTTCGGAATATTCTTCGGAATATATTGAATATATATTTCAGAAAAGGAAATTATTTGAGATCTAATATAAAAGATAGAAATATATCAGATTTCTTTGATATGAATTGAATTCATAATATAATATTTGAGAAATTTGAATAGAAATCATAGGAATGATGATATCATAAAATTATATATCTCATAAATGAAATTCAAATCGTATTCCTGATATCTTCTTCAAATCAATAAATCCTAAATAGAATCGCATATTCTCATATATCTTAATTCAAAGAATTCATTCAATCCCTCCCTCTTATATATTCTTTAGAATCCTCTAATTCGTCAGATCTCTAGAGATTCTATAAATTATGATGCTAAGATTCCTGAAACCCAAAATTTTCTTCTATATCCCAAATCTTTCGAAATATTATTAGATCCTTCAGATATATCAAAGCCGAATCTGCCGCCTTTCCTCGAGATCTCTTCGTATTAATCTTGGAGATCTCCAAATAGATAAAATCCAAAATCCAATATATTAATTCTAGATCTTTGAATACATTTTTGAAATCTCCTAGATATTCAAATTCAAAATCCTCCTTCCTATATTATTCGTTTTCCTTAGACCTCTCAATCATTTCTATAGAATCAGAAAATTCTTTCAGATTAGCCCCAAATCCCTATTTTCATTCTTTGATCAAAATCTTCGCGCCTTAATCCTAGGTCCCTCAATATAGAATTCTCCATATATATCTATGCCAAACGCCTTATATCGATCCTGAATTCATTTCTTAGAT